ACCCATCAATAGTTTATCAACAACCCGTCACTGCTGTCAATAGTTTATCACTGTCATAGGAAGTTTGAAACCAAAACACAACTAATAATTATGTCTTATTACACAAAAACACCCATATTAATATGTCAGTTGTTTTTTCAATTGAGTACATGTTCACTGGGATGTTGTGGCTCTCGAGAAAGCTAAGACTAGACAAACATCTACCCCTCTAGTAAATACGTCATTTTGTTGGTCGACAAAGATGGAAATGATAATATAAAGCAACATGGCCGATTATCTACCAAATTTCAAGTGCTAAAAAGGCTTTTAATAAGGCATACCTGTAGCAATTGCAATTAGTTCCAGGTATGCCATCGTCGTCTCTCACTTCCTAGAAGAGATTGAGAAGTGAGATTCTCAATCGCCCAAATATTGGGGATTGAGATGCCTACTCTCCTGCGATGACCTTGTTTGGGTTTCGCCGTTTCGAGGGCCGCTTGTTTCACTAGTTTGACTGCGGGCATTTACAGTCGTCGATGGTGCACTACGCCTCAAAGAAGCGGAACACGTTGACCTCATCGTTGAAGCCTAAGATCGATTATTCCAATTCTTCATATGCAGGAAGGTCGGGTTTGCTCGTTGCACGATTTCAAAGTCGCTTGAGTTCCGATCCGTTGGGATTAGGGGCTGTCGATTGTGGACGATCGTCTTCATCTGTGAGGAGCCACAAATCAGAGTGATAACCAAGAGAATCCAGTTAGAATATGGAGAGGAATAAAAGGGTTTACTTGTCACACAGTGACGACCACGAGATTCTAGTGAAGATTGAGCCTGGGTAAGCGAAGAGAGGAGGAGCGACTGTGACTGCAGTTATGAGATTTTCAACAAATTAAAACAAGTTTTTGGGTATTTGGGTTGTCAGATTTGGGGGTTTGTAGTTAAAATTTAAAAATGAATTAAATAGCGGAAGGAAGGAAAAAAAAGGCGCGATAAGGAAGGAGAAACTGCAACATACCCAGTTCTAGTGTGAGCTTACTTTTTCTTCCCAGCCGTTGAGATTACTTAAATGGCTGAGATGGAGCGGCAAGAAGAGGTTTGCAAAAAGAAGTTCCCACATGAGCCTACACGTTGTCGAATTATTATATATGTAGATTATTATAACAAAACAGATACTTTTACAACCTTATATATGAAAGGAAACTAATACTTGTGTTATTAAAAATTAGACAATGAATATTAAGGAAATATACTTATAATGTTGGTTATTGCAAAATATATTTTTACGGTTGAAAGGAAAGTGAGTTATCAAAAAATTCCGAACTTTCACAGGAGATGCTTGTTGATGTAGGTTATTGAAGTTGAAGTTAATAAGTATATATAGCTATGGTTGAGAGGAAAATGAGTTATCAAAAGGCGTTTGAATTTTTTCATTATGAAATGGATGATTTATAGCTTCCCTAAGTTTTATAACATTACAAGAAGGCCGGAGCAATTTTCGGGGCATTTTTTCGATTTTCATACTATTTATTACTATTGTTTCAAGAGTTTTCACATATTTGAGTTCAAGGTAGTTGTTGAATCAAAGAACACGAGTGTTAAGTTACAAAACATCAACTAGTGTTTTATATTGTTTAGAAACAAATTTGAGTTTACATTATCACTTTACATTTTTATAAGTGAAAATTTTACTTTTATAGTTTGAGGGTGTAGAGAATGTCACAAGGAGTTCTTAGGAATATTCGGTGTATTTTTTGGATTTTTAATTAATTAATTATGAATTTTATAAGTAAAATCTAAGAAAAATAATATTAAATAGTATAGGGCAACATGTGGCAGCAGCTGAAGGTGGCGCCCTCAGTGCTTCCAACAGGTGGCGTACCACGATTGCTCCACATGTCATTTTGATTACTTTTTCCAATTTTATATTTAAAAATTCTTTAAAAAATAATTACAAATCAGAAAAATACACCGAAAATTGCTAAAA